TCCTCAGAGCTGCCACCTAGCAATTATGTGAAGCTTCACGAGGACTGATTGATATTGATCGTTTGGTCCAGTGAGCTACTTTCATTCAGAGATAAAACTGATAGTGAATATTGTGTCTCTGCAGTATTCACTAAAACATTCTTGTCTCGAATCCCCAGTTAAATGGTGCTTCCCTTTTGCGGAATCAGGAACTGCTTTGAGGATCTGGTGAAAGTCCTCTTCAGAAAAGTGCTTATACCTGGTTGCGCATATGATTTCAAAGGGTTCATTGCCCCACCCACCACAAGCTGATCCATAGGCTGTGGAGTAAATAACCTTTATGGTTGGCATTCTCTCCTCATGTGTTTGACATCCAAAGAAATCGTGTACTTTTTTAGCCTGTAGATGTTTCACAGAAAATGTATTTAATGTTCTTTCACATTGATGAAAAGTAAATATAGAATGCTGTAAGTGAGAACTCATACGTATTGTGTTTCAGGAGCTTTTTATCAGAGCTTACTTTTCAGACAACTGTTAGGCGTAACGTCTGCTCTCTCCTTCTCTTTGAAAGCTCGGTAAGATGCGGCTGACGATTCCGTGCCGGGCCCTTACCTGCTCCCATCTGCAGTGCTTTGATGCAACTCTGTATATTCAGATGAACGAGAAAAAACCAACCTGGGTTTGTCCTGTGTGTGATAAGAAGGCTCCGTATGAACACCTTATTATAGATGGGTATGTCAACTTCTCTTCCTCATACCTGGGTCTGTTATCCTTTGAGTTTGGAATAAAAATTCTACAGGTAATGTTTTCTCAGTTACGCATTTGTAAGATTTTCATGGCTCTTGAAGTCAGTATTTTCATAGCAATTAAGTAGTAGTGTGAAGATTTTCCTTTTTAGTGTGATGTCCCCTTGTTTGAAAATGCGGCCGGCTCCGCAGCTCACTAGGCTAATCCTCCACCTGTGGCACCGGCACCCCGGGTTCTAGTCCTGGTCGGGGCACTGGATTCTGTCCCGGTTGCACCTCTTCCAGGCCAGCTCTCTGCTGTGGCCAGGGAGTGCAGTGGAGGATGGCCCAAGTGCTTGGGCCCTGCACCCGCATGGGAGACCAGGAGAAGCACCTGGCTCCTGCCTTCGGATCAGCGTGGTGCGCCAGCCGCAGCGGCTATTGTAGGGGAACCAACGGCAAAGGAAGAACTTTCTCTCTCTCTCTCTCTCTCACTGTCCACTCTGCCTGTCAAAAAAAAAAAAAAAAAACATATTTTACTGTGTGTGCCTTCTAACGTTTTCCCGTTTTTAAAGCACCAGTGTTTTTGAGCAGGGTATGCATGTTTCCTAACATGAGTCCACCTGTCCCCATATATGCTAACCATTTGGAGAAGGCATGAAAGAATTACGAAATTCGGTTTAACTCTAGCTCATCAAAAAAGTGGAGTTTTTAGTGGAAGTTAGCCTGTTTCTGGAGATTGGATCAAGCTTCAGTTTTGGCCTGTTCTCCCACAGTAGGGTTCCTACAACTGATCAGCACACTGGCTAGCAGCCTCCTTTGTTTATCCATTTCCTCATTATTCTTCTTTCCTTTTTTTTTTTTTAATCTAAAGCATTATAATAATTACGTGTTTGTTGTTAATACTATGTTCTTATTAGACGTCTTGGGATGTTGAGATTTACCCCTATTATTCTGTAGCCTTTCTTTCTTTCGTTCGTTCGTTCCTGAGCAAAAATATGAAAAAGAGTATTTCCTGCACTCTCCTGCAAAACACTTAAAGCAACTTACTTTTGAGAAACACAGGAGTCTGAAATGGTAACATCAGAAATGGAATGTATGTGTGGGCACAAGTGTAACCTAGAGCTTGGTGTAGCTACAAACCCCGTGCCCCGGGTGTATCTGCTTACCTCTTCAGAGATGAGGGTGAGGCTTGCGGATGACCTGGGTAGTGGCGGCTCACTGACTCTGCATGCTGCGTAGCCTTGAGGTTCCCCCTTTCTTGTAATGAAAGCTGTCAAACATTCTTTGTAAGACACGTTGGACAGCTCAGGAAGGAGCTCTTTTTGGTGTATAATTTTCTAGGTTTTGCTTTCACATAATTGGGATTGTTTGTTGTTCAGGATATTTATTCTTTTGTTTCATTTAACTTTATAACCTAAGAATTTGACCGTGATGTTCTGCTTTCGTTGTAAATACCTGTGTTTGAAGATGTCTGCATGATGCTTTTTCAGGGAGGCAGTTTATCAGATAAGAGTTGCTTAGTGCAGGCAGTTTGGAATTTTTGAAAAGTATAAAGAAAAATAATCCTGAAAGTCAGCACTGTAACTGCTCTTCTACTACTACCCAGACACAGTTTTATTTTGGATTCATCATTTTGTTTTCTTGGCCTTTTTTCGCTTTCTGTAAACATTTTTGCATGTTATTAGAATCTTTAAAAATGTAATTTTTTCATCCATAGTTTTAGTAACAGTTTTCCTACTTAGCAGTGGTTTTTGAGAACAACTGTAATTTGCCTGTTCTGCTTTCTCTTTCCCTGTTCATACTTGTACAAAACCTAAACAGCCTGAATGTTTCTTGAACAGTAATATTTCTAATTTGTCTTCATTTAAAATGGGATATTCCAAGGACAATTTTTTTTTGTAGCTTATTTATGGAAATCCTAAAATACTGTACAGACTGTGATGAAATACAATTTAAGGAGGATGGCTCTTGGGCACCCATGAGATCCAAAAAGGAAGTACAGGAAGTTCCTGCCTCTTACAACGGAGTCGACGGTAAGTGATCATGTTTCACGAGGGTGGGGCAGCCTCCCTGCTGCTGCAAGCCCTGGTTTTCAATATCAGAATTCATACTTTTCTAAAAAAATGAGTAGCTTATGGAGATTTCCAGTGATTCTTACTAAGCTCTTCATTAAGTGCTTAGAAGTAGTAGAACTACTTCTTAATTCCTTTCTTTGCCAGCTTTTAAAATTTTCTGATAAAAGATTTCAAAGTAACCTAATAAGTCATTTTTAACAGACTTGAGACAGAGTAATGAATGGTTCTTTTGCATTTTTTTTTTCCTCATTGGCTTTTAATATGTTTTTGCTGGAAGGAGGCCATGAGGTTTTAAAAAATATCACCATTTTTATGTGATTTTATACTGTACTGTACAGAAAAATATATATAATATACAGTCTGTTCTCAAACGACTTTTTTTCTGATAGTTATTTTGATTGTTTACCCAAATTCACAACTGTCTTTCAAAACAAGTTTTGTTAAACTCAGTTGGGTTTCCACTCTGAGAAAAGCAGGGCGTGTCATGGATATTCTGTGCCTTGTTTTCTAAACATTCCCACACAGGATGCCTGAGCTCCACATTGGAGCATCAGGTGACTTCCCACCACTCGTCCTCAAATAAAAACAAGAAAGTCGAGGTGATTGATCTAACCATTGACAGCTCATCTGACGAGGAGGAGGAAGAGCCATCTGCCAAGAGGACCTGCCCTTCCCTGTCCCCCACGTCGCCACTCAATAATAAAGGGTAAGTACTGAGGTCAGAACTCAGTGTGAAAGGTAACTTAGTAAGTAGTAATTAAAGAGCTGCTGAATTAAATGATTTGTGCTCGGTTGTCAATTTAGCAATCAAAGAATAGGTTGAATTTTCCTTGTGTGTGATATTCTTGAGAGTTCAGATGATGCACTAGAAGGGCGCTTGGATATAGTGTAGTATCAAAAGCAATTCTCAGACTTTAGTGTAGATGAGACTTACCGAGAGCTTATCAAAATACGTGGTTGCTCCCCCGTGCCAGGTGGGGGCTGGGACAGTGTGTATTCCTGCTGTGTTCCCAGGTGACCCTGCTACTGTCCATCGGATCTAGAACACTTGTTCACTGGAGGGTTGACCCGTTGGAAAGCAGAGGAAGCCTAGGTGATGTGGACCTGGGCCTCAGGGTGTTTGTGATCTGGCAGTGAAGGAGGTCAGAGATGACTTCGGCTGCAGGACGCAGACTTGTTTCCCGTATTTCCTCTTAGTCATAGATCAATGATAGTGTACCTTGGCTACTTTGTTTAGCTCAGGAAGCACTGTTAATCTACTTTGTGTAAAACAACCTGTGCTAAACATGCATGGTAGTGTAATGAGTAAATACAGAGCTGAACACTATGGAGATGACAGAAGCAGCAGCAAACTCTACCTGCACTCTGAAGCAGACTGTTTGTCCCGGAAACACATTGGGGATGCTCAGCAGGGAGATTTTGTGTGTAGTGTGGCATAACTGTCGCCTGCTAATGGGAAACCTACAAATAGATGTGCCCCTTTCTGGGTGCATCTCAAGAGAATCACGTAGCCCTTTGAAACTGAATAGGAGCTATTTAAAAAGTCTTCTAACAAACAGTAACCCATTAGGAAGGGATGTGAGGGGGAGAGGGAAGTCCATACATGGCGTTGCTATGGATTTCAAGGTTCAAGGGGGAGCATTGCTACCAGGCCAAGAGTAGACGTTTCTGTGCTTGAAACAAAATCGTTTTCAGGTCTGATAGGCATGATGAGATCAAAAAATATTTAAAGCAAGCGTTACACGGGTTATTGCATTCAGGAGTTGTTTATTTGAGTATGCAGACAGAAATGAAGACATTAAAAAACAGTACCATTATTCTAAACACAGTAAATATTTAAACCAGTTTATGAACAGTTTCTCTGAGGGAATCCCACCTTGACAGCCCTTACGTGGCCAACCTGACCTTGCTGTTGTACTGACCTGAGAAACTGAGGGGGAGCAAAGGTCAGTTTACTTAAAGCCAGCATGGTTAGAATAAATATCTATAGAATGCAAATTCCAAGCTGTTTTATAAGTATCAGACCATAGTCTGACCAAATAGATAGTCAGCCATCCATATCTGATGTTTCTGCATCTCCCGTGGACTGAAAATATCCAGAAAAAAAAAATCACACCAGTACTGAACACCTGTAGACTTAAAAAAAAATTTCCTTGCCATTATTCCCTAAGCAATGCAGTATCACAGCTGGTTACAAAGCATGCACTTCGTGTGAGTATTGTAAGTCATCCAGGGCTGCCTCACAGTACCCAGAAGGACCGTGTGGGTTATGCAAATACTGGGCTATTGTGAACATCTACAGATTTTGATATAGATACTGAGGGACAACTGTGTTGTGAGTTTTTAAGACCATAATTGGCAACATTAAAAGATATTTCTTAAACTTCTAGGTATGTGAATACTTTTGAGTTAATATGCATCATTATGTATGTTGGTTCTTTAGAATAGTGATAACAGTCCTGTGTGTGTGTGTGTGTGTGTGTACATACATATAATACACATAAACTATGCTGTAGTTTTCCCATGTGGCTAGATGTTTTTTTTCCTTCAAGGAAACTTTTTAGATATTTACTTTGCTATGTCTATAAAAATAGCTCTGTGTGTTAATGTTTGAAAAAATTACATTAGATGTATTAACTACTTCCTGAGTTTCCCAGTGACTAATTGAACCCAGATACAGTATTTGCAGATGCCAGTCCTTTTTCTATTTTCAGGTAAAACAAGAAACCTGACAATTTACAAGATCTTTAGAAGGAGAATACACCACAGTAGTAGCCATTTTACAGCATGATTCGCCAGTAGCTAGAGAACTAAGCCCAGCGTGGTGTGTGTGTTAGTTATTGTGCAGAATAAAGGTGGAAAAGCATCTCAAAGCATTATCACAAAATTGCAAGTACAGCAGCCAGCCAGGGGCCAGGAAGAGGCAGATGTCACTAACTGTAAAACCACTTGGCCAGAGTTCCACTGAGTGTCCATTTGTCCAGAAGTGTACTGTACCGTTCAGTGTACTGAGATGTTCCCCGAGATGAGCCTCTCGAATGCTTTCTTCTCTCCTGCAGTCCCCTGGCACTGTCAGAGGACATGGCTAGTGGAACGTGGTAGTTTTTGTAGATGTAAGAGATTTAATTAATTTTCCATTAGATGAGACACTTTCACAAGGAAGACGAGAGTGTGTTGTATATTTCATACCCCATTGATGAAAACGTGGTAGGTAGATGGTCATAACTAGAACTCTGTTCCCAGAAACCCAACCTGGGCATCTTTTGAAATATTCTGTGCCTTTGAAATTGCCTCACCACACCCAAAAAACTTCATATGAAGCATTCAAAACCAAAGATAGCCTCTTTAACCCTTGCTGCTTCTTGGTTTTCTATAATGTAATGCCTGTGAGCTTCTTGTGTGACTGGGATAACCTACAACCCTGTTTCTGCCCAGGATGGTTACATTTCTTTCATTTTCTTCTCCAAATTAGTCACATTCATTCTTTTCCCTTTCCTTGCTTCCTTCCTTCCTTTTTCCCTTTTCCTTATGTTTTGCTAAAGAGAAACAAGATCTGAGTACTCAGCTAATATAGACATTTCACTCTTTTCCTTTTTTTCATGTTCTGATTATGCTCTTGCTCCTTTAAAAACTCTCCACTTGGGGCCGGCGCTGTGGCGCAACGGGTTAAAGCCCTCGCCCGAAGCGCCGGCATCCCATATGGGCACCGATTCTAGTCCCGGCTGCTCCACTTCCAATCCAGCTCTCTGCTATGGTCTGGGAAAGCAGTGGACGATGGCCCAAGTCCTTGGGCCCCTGCACCCGTGTGGGAGACCCGGAGGAAGCTCCTGGCTCCTGGCTTCGGATTGGCACAGCTCCAGCCGTTGTAGCCATCTGGAGAGTGAACCATTGGATGGAAGACCTCTCTCTCTGTAACTCTGTGTTTCAAATAAATAAAATAGATCTTTAAAAAACAAACAAACAAAAACTCTCCACCTTTCCACTGGGAGCACCTCTTGTTTCAGTTCTACAAGGCTTTTATGCCAACAGTGTGCTGACAGAGGTGCTGGGCATCGGGTGTACCGAGACAGATACCAGCCAGTTTTGGTCCTCATGAAACTCACGTAGGTGCTTTTCACATGTATCCTGCTGAAGTGGCTTAGACATGCCTTTCCCTACATTCTCAAAGTGTAGATGATGGTGTCTCAAAGACTGTGTGTAATCTGTGCGTATGGATGCTGGATACCATTGCATGCATCCGTTTCTCTCTGTAGCCTCCACAAAATGCTATATTAATTGTGCAGATTATTTCCTCATCATTGTGGATTGTGTAAATTGTATATCACTTTGCCCGTTTTTTGCTTTGGTATCCAGCACAAAAGCTAGGGCTCGTAGTAAAATGCAACCTGTTTCAACTAACTCATGGAAATTATGCGAACATTTCCTTCTTACAGCATTTTAAGTCTTCCACATCAAGCATCTCCAGTATCTCGCACCCCCAGCCTTCCTGCTGTGGACACAAGCTACATCAACACGTCCCTCATCCAAGACTACAGGCATCCTTTCCACATGACGCCCATGCCTTACGACCTGCAAGGTGAGTCGCCGTGGCTTCCGAGTTGTCACACAGCATCAAGCATTCCTCCGATCCGTGTGGTCCTCTGTGGGTGCGCCTGAGCAAGAACTGGAAGATTGGGAGAGCAGGCCCCAAGGGATTGAGAGAAATAATAGAACATGGTCACGAATCTGTCCCAGTCATTGTGGGTAACTGCTGTATTATCTTTTAGGTAATGCTGAATTGAGAGACTTGCAAGTTTTCTCTTTTGCTCTAGTGAATTAAAAGCAGTGAGAACTGTCACTCATTTGTATAATGTATTTGGAGTTCGTAATAATCATTTGCATTATTGGAAAGTATTGTTAGTTTTCATATCTTTGTGGTTTAGTAATTTGTAAATTAATCAAGTCATGCAGGAATATTTTTCTTTGTTATTACAGAAAGCCCATATTATACCCCATGAATATGTTCAATTTTTATGGATCCGTTTTTAAAAGCTATATATGCTCACTATAGTGAATTCCATACAAAACAGTGAAAATTTTCCTCTACCATTCTCCCAAGTCCACAGTCCAGAAGTTCCATTTGCCCTTAACTGTTGGTTAGATGCCTTTCCGTAGCTTTTGTCTTAATGTTTGAAGCATACTGTCGCTCCTAAGGATCGCGGTGCTAAGTCAGCGCTTGAGCTGTAATGAGGAGCAGGCAGCATGTGGGCCCCGTGGTCTCCATGTGCTGGTGGTACGCTTTGCCCTGGGTTTAGCTGTCCTCCCGAGGCATCTCGGTCGCCTTGTTTACTTTGCTCCTGACCACATCACAGTCGAGAATGGGTGCAGGGAGGCCCACCCCCCACCCCGGGCTCTGGCCGCTGCAGAGATTCCAAGTTACAGTCTGGTACAGATGGTGGCAGTGAGCAACTCTGAGGAAGAAAAGGAAAATTTGGGCTGTGGCTTGCTTATTACTCTTGGAACTTCAAACTTTCTCCTCTGTAAAATGAGGCCAGAAATGATCAGATGCCTCACGAGGTGCCTGTGAGGGGGAATGAGAGGAGTGGAGGAGAGCTGGCCGGTGCGCGGCCGGCAGCCGGTCCCCCAGCTGCTCAGACAGAGGTGCGGGGAGGCGGCGTCTCTGCTTGCGCTGCGCCCTCAGCATCCAGAGGAGGGAGAGGCGCAGGACACTCAGCTTGAAGTCAGATTCCAAAAGGCAGAGGAGTTAGGATTTATGTTTGTTTTCCAAGTACTGGGCATTTGGAAAGGGGTTTTACTATGTTTTTTTGTTCTTGTTTTTTCCAAAACTAAAATAATTTTTCTCTCCCATAGGATTAGATTTCTTCCCTTTCTTATCAGGAGACAATCAGGTATGTTACATGAAAAAAAGTTACCATTATTTTACTTGTACATTCAAAATATTTAAAAGTCTAATATGTTATCCAGGAGGCAGAATACATTTCTCTGGAAAATTCAGAGTGACCCATGCCTGTTATAGTTAGGTCTGGGAGTGTGGATGAGAGCCCTGGCCTCAGTAGAGCCTGCATCCGTCTGTGGGCTCGCGGTACTGTCTGGAAGAGCAGCTGCAGGCAGCTGGATGGAGAGACGGTTCCTGGAGACGCAGTCACACGCCACACGGCGTAGACCATCCCCGTGCTGAGGGCTCACAAGAGGATGACTTGCTGTAGCCCAGTGACATCACAGTTGGGTCACGTCAGCACACTGCCTTCCTGTGCGTGCGTGGGTGTGGGGATAAGCAGACCTAGCGTTGCCAGTCACGGGCGAGCACAGCATGTACAGTTATGCACACTGCATAACGCTTGATTGTAATCAAAAGCATCTCACTGGCTTATGTCTATTATACCACACCACATTGGTAACTTTTGACCGGCTCCTGCCAACCCTACCGATGAACAGGAGAGTTTCAGAAGTGTGCCACGCTTCATTGGCAGCAGCCCTCTCTCTCATGTCTACTGATTGCGCCCTTCTAGAGTGTGCTTGATTTAATCTGATTTCTTTGGTTCGCTGAGGTCCCTAAATGTAGAAAACCCCTCGCTGACACTGCCCAGTAAGAAGCCACACTGATTGACCCAGAAACAAAATATAAGGTGATTAACGAAAGTTGAAAATCAGTGACGGGGGCTGGCTCTGTGGTGTAGCTGGTAAAGCCGCCACATGTGTTACCAGCATCCCATATGAGCATCAGTTCGAGTCCTGGCTGCTCCACTTCCTATCCAGCTCCCTGCTAATGGGCCTGGGAAAGCAGGGGAAGCTGGCCCAAGTGCTTAGGCTCCTGCCACCCACGTGGGAGACCCAGATAAAGCTCCTGGCTCCTGGCTTCTACCTAGCCCAGCCCCAGCTGTTGCGGCCATCTCGGGAAGTGAACCAGAGGCTGGAAGATCTCTTTGTCTCTCCCTCTCGCTCTCTGTGACGCTGCCTTTCAAATAAATTAATCTAAAAAAAAAAAAAGAGAGAGAGAGAAAATGGATGACGGTGTCGCTCAGCAGTCAGGCCTGTCCCATGGCGAGGTAGCTCCTGTCTTGATGGGCAGACGTAGAGGAAAGGAAGCTGTTGGAGGAGCTGCTTTACTGAAGGCAGCAGGACCAGTGAGACGGCCAGAGGGGCCCACACCAAGCGTGGAGAAACTTGTGCTGACCTGGGTTGGTGACAGGCTCATCCCTCTTGGCACCATGGTGATCATAGCCAAAGCTCTGATCAGAACGGAAGTTTGCAAGGTTGAAAGAGGCCAGGCTCAGCTTCGATGTTGAGCTCACTGCCAGCTGTGGGTGATGTGAACACCCGAGAGGCCTCATTCATCACGCATCGTGAAGGTGAGCGGTGGATCCGCACGTGCTGATGCGACGGCAGCCGAAGAAAGAGCTGTTGGGAATGGAATCGGCTGACTGCGGAGGGGCCTTCCTTGCCGGAGCTGATCCTCACTGTGGAGGATGCCTCCTGTCGCTCCCCCTCTTCGCGGAGGAACGACACTGAACCCTGCGCTGTTCTTTCATCTGCTCGGCCCTCCCCGGGTTAGCTGCTGGTTCTTCCCGGGTTGGCTACTGTCCCTTCCACCTCCGTGGAAGGGCGGTTCCCCCTAGCCACTTTCCCCACTTCCGCAGGGGAGCGGCACACCGCCGGCCGGCTCTCTCGGGGGCTGCACAGGTGTTCCCCTTAGATGTTCCCCTTAGATGTTCCCTTTAGATGTTCCTCGTGCATGCCGTCTCTCTCCTCCTTTATAGTCCTCCTCCGCCAATCCCAACTCGGCTGCCCACACGCCGAGTACGCTGCTCTCCTCCAATCAGAAGCAAGTCCTACAGTTTATTGGCTGAACTGGAGGCAGCTGTGTAGAAGCTGTTTTCTTCTCTCCCAGCGCCATATTGTGGGAGAGCAGATGCATAAAATAAGTCTTAATTCCAGTAACTCAGTCCAGTCCGGATTGCTCCCCACACCTCCCTGTCCTGGAAACGGATGCCCGCAAGGACTTCGTCCATGAGGAGGCCAGGCCAGTGCCAGGTTTCGCGGCTAGGGTAACAGTCTGGCTTGCGGGCCGTGAAGCCGAGCGTGATGTGGCACGGTGCGAGTGCCAGGGCTTCGAGCCTGTCAGCAAGCACACACTGCACGCACTGCAGGGGCAGCAGCAAGTCACGGATGGCCCCGCCCCTCCTCCGAGATGCCCTCCTGAATTGCTTTGCCAGAGCACTGGAGAAGTACGGGGTGGAGGGCAACACGCCTTCAGGGTTTTGGTGACTGTTGTAAGGCTCCCAGCGCCTTTTCTGTGGTGCCGTTTGTCCCGGGATGAAAGGACAGTTTCTTCCTCCAGACTCAGATCCAGCCAGTGGGTGAAGATTCATAAGGGAGATCTTTGCCCAGGCTACCACAGCTGCGTAGACATGGGTGCAGCCCTGGAAGGACTCCCCGGACCTTGCGTGGGCCTGCCGTGGCGTCACCCAGGAGTAGTACATGGTTGGCATCTGCGAGAGAGTCATCCGTGACTTCAGAAGATGTGCCAAGGACGCAGAGGTGGCGGCAGCCATCCAGGCTGGGGCTGAGCCGGGCGGGTGAGGACGACCCAACGGGCTGCCGGAGCTGCTTCCTGAGGAGTCCAGGAGGGAGGAGGTGCAGAGGGGCCAGAGGAAAGGGCAGTGCGAGAGGAGAGGGCGCTGCCCAGAGGTCTGCAGTGACGTTGAGCAGAAGGCCTGCACAGCCCGACACGCTCCCTAAGAAGCGTGGAACATGGGCCCCAAGCGGGACATGCTCCACAACTAAACAAGGATCCTCACGGGCGCCGCTGCTTGTGAGCAAGTCTGTGGTGACCGACAGCCCGACAGCAGACCGCCTGGACAGACTCCTGAGAGAGCGGCCCTCGGGCGGGGCTCCATCAGCAGGCCAGACGGCCGATACAGCGGCGCGAGTGTGCTGTGGCCCGCTGGCCTGCCAGCGGGACAGGAGGCAGGGGCGGAAGACAGCGACAGGCGAGATCCTCACCCAGTGTAGCCTGCGCTCATGTGTTTGTCTTCATTTTTAATAAAAATATTTTCTGAAAATTTAGTCCAAAAATGCTTATAGAATAAAGATATGAGGAAAAAACTTTATACAGCTGTATAGTATGTATTTTAAGCTAAGTGTTACTAAATAGTCAAAAAGTTTTAAGACTTAAAGTGTTTATAAAGTAGACAAGTCACAGGAGGAGAAGCCGTGTTAGGGGAGCCACAGGCCATGCTGTGTGGTGCAGGTGGGTGGCAGGTGCGGCCGCCCAGCTCTGGGTGAGCGTGCTGCAGGGTCCGGGTAACGAAGGCATTGCCTGCTGCCGCGGTGCCCGGACGTGGCCCCATCATTGAGTGCCGTGTGACTGGAACTCCTTAGGAGAAAGCGGGTGGACTGTGCTGCTTCTTCTGGCCATATTCTTCTTTGGCAAGTAGAATTTTGAGAATTGCTTGCCTTACAAATTAAAACAAAAAATTACTATTTTCCAGTTCCGGATGGAAAGATGTGTCTCAGAGATAGTTAGTCATTACATAAGGCCATTGGGTTTGCACACGTTTAGGAAACCACCGATCCTCAGGACGCAGTAGCAGTAGGAGTGCACTCTGCAGAAAAGGGGTTGGCTGGTTGTGTCGTTAGCATTAACGTGTCTCGGCCCTTGCCCCCCCCCCCCCCCCCCCAGCATTACAACACCTCGCTGCTGGCCGCCGCCGCCGCCGCCGTCTCGGACGATCAGGACCTCCTGCACTCCTCGCGGTTTTTCCCGTATACCTCCTCGCAGATGTTTCTCGATCAGCTGAGTGCAGGAGGCAGCACCTCGTTGCCAACCACCAACGGGAGCAGCAGTGGCAGTAACAGCAGCCTCGTGTCCTCCAACAGCCTGCGGGAGAGCCACAGCCACCCGGTGGCCAGCAGGAGCGGCACGGACACGGCGTCCATCTTCGGCATCATCCCAGACATAATCTCCTTGGACTGAGCCCCCGGCCCAGAGTCAATGAACTCGGCAGAAAGAAGAGAACTTTGTGCTGTTTTACCTTATTCTGTTTAGAAAAGTACACAAGCGTGTTTTTTTCCTTTTTTTAGGGAAAAAATTAAAAGAAATGTACAGAGAACAAAACTATATTTTCAGTTTTACTTTTGTATATAAATCTAAGACTGCCTGTCTGATAAAACACTTATAAAAAAAAGAGAAAAGAAAAAAGAAAAATCAAGCACCCACAAACCACCTTCAGTTCATTTTTTCCTGGATTCTGAAGATTTTTCATCAGTTGTCCTCTGGTTTTGGTTTTATTTTACTTCAATGGCATTATTTTATTTGCAATAACAGAAAAGGAATTGCATGTATGAAGTTTTAAATTGTGGGCTTTGTTGTGGGGAGGGGTTGGGGGGATGGTTTGATTTCCATTTTCTAAATACGACAGACTTGGATTCTGTCTGCGTGTGTGTGTGTGCATATTTTATCCAGCCTTAAGTTATAAGTTTCATCTGTCCCACTGCATTCCTGTATTTCCAGGACATGGCTCGTGCGTGCGTGTGTCTGTGTGGATATTTTTCTGTCGTTGCTGTTCCCTCTCCTCCCGAGTTTGCGTTCAGTTCACACATCCGTTGCCTGCTTCTTTCAAACTGCTTTGAGGGTCTTGAACTCACGCGGGAGCCCTTTTCTCAACCAGCCCAGTTGCGCGTTCTCTCCGCCAGGTGTTCTCCCCTGAGGATTTGCCTTAGGCTAATGGAGGAGAGCCCCCCCGGGTGGGGAGTGGGCTTGGCAGACCTGGGGTAATGCGCATCCGTCTAGTTCTAGATTCTCAGCCCGGATTGCCAGCATTGTGTGTCTATACCCAGCCTGTGACTACCTGCGTGTTTGGCCACAGGGTAGCAAGTTTTCATGGAAGATCACTCATGCCAAAGGACGATGGAAAATTGCTTAGGAAGCCCTGCTGAGTGTCCTGTGCAGCCGACGGAGGTAAGGTGACGCCACCTCAGGAGGAGAGACAAGTCCGTTATCCCAAAGGGGCGTTCTCTCTGGAAAACGCAGTGCTGCACGTCCGTCTGTAGGAATGTGAGCAGTTGATGAGCAGTTGAAATTCCACGTGGACTTGATCCACTTCTTTTCCACTCTGGCTCTGAGTGTTCTTATTCCCTTAGCCTGTCTGCCGTGGTCGTTTTCTTCACCTTCTCATGACAACCATGACACGGGAAAGTCACTTTTTAAAACCGCGTGGGTCAGTCTGATCTGCTCTTGCTCATCGGATGTGTAATGTTGACAACTGCTGCTCAGGGTGGGGAGGGAGGAGAGGCGGCTTCACCTGCGCTCCAGAAGCCGCGTCAGAGAAAGCGTTCGGTCTCAGGTGTGGACACTGCCTTTGAGCTGATGGACAGTGCAGGGATAGGTAACGGAAAAAAGTCACAGGAGGGGTGTGGTGATGCCAGTCCCAACTGGTAGCGTTCTCAGAGCTGATGAAGGACCACCTTTGCGTGTCCACTGGTCCTGTGGGATCTTGCATTGGTGACAAAGTGACATGCTTTAACCCAGGCGGAGTTCATGCTGGCTGTATCTTCAGTTGTGTGACAGAAGTAATGGTTCTCATGACTGTGTGGCGTCTAAAAAGAACATGTTTCTACAGCATCTCTGCTACTAAATTGTTGACTTGAATTTTGAAAAAAAAAAAAAAACAGTTGGTGTTGCTATGTATATGTGTGTGTGTATATATGTATTTATAAACAGGTGTGTGTGAGTAACAAGTGAGTTACATAGTCTTCCCCTGGGCGTGTGGACTCCACACAGAAGTGGCTGGCTGTAGTCAGGAAACAACTTGTAACTTTGGAAAAGCAGATTGGTTGTCAGTTCACACAGGAGATAGTTTTTAAATGAATCTGGTGTTACAGTGAGTCCACACTAAACTCTCATTACCATATTAATCAAAGCTAATTCCTAATATTACATTTTTGTGTCTGAATTTGTATTTGGGTTTCAGTTTCTGATTTTATATTGCAATAGGAGACAGACTTCTGTTAATTCAGCTCCTTCAGGTAAAATCCTGAATAGTTTTCTTTACTCATTTTTTTTCCTCAGTCGTTCGTGGTCTCAGAATTCTGATCAGTAACTTCGTATATGATGCTGAATTAGGAGCTCTTTGAATGATTCAGTTGGAAACCCACCCTCTGCTTTCTTCAGCCCGGTGGTGTTTGTTGTGGAAGACGGAGGGCAGCTGTCCCTCAGTGGCCTGCATTGCGCCGCCCTTAGGGAAGACGGGTGACAGGGAGAAGTCGGTGTCCAATGGCGTTCGTCCTGATCTCGTTCCGTGTCTGACTTTTTAGTTCATTCCACTCTGTGAGGAGTTTGTTTCCTTCTGTTGGTAACGTTCCACAGTGTTGTGCTGGGTCGTGGCGGTCGCTCGCTCCCTAGCGTCCTGCTCCCCGGAAGTCGGCCCTGGCCTGGGCTGTCACCAGCAGCACCCAGTCCAGCCTGCTTCTCCGTCTCCGCGTCTTCAGTGAGAGTCCCTCGCCCCTTCCTCTTCCTTGCTCGGCTCTCCCTTGCTCCCCAGCCCGCCCCGATGGTGACAGTGAGTGCCAGAAGAGTGGGGGCACCTGTGCCACCCCCCTCACTCTGGCTGCTCGCGAGGGGTGTGCACATGTCTGTGTCTCCGTACAGTGCTGTCTGTCCGCACATGTGTGTATCGGACGCTGTCTGCACACGTCTTTGATGAGACCGCTGTTGGGCTAGCAGCGTTGAAGTGGCTTTTCTTTACTTTGTGGGCATTATTGGACACATCTATTAAAAACAAAAACAGTCTGAACCGAAACCACGCCACGTGTGGTGACTGAGTATTTTGAGCATGGAATTTTTTTCCTGTCAGTTTAGACATTAGCACAACTCTGCATCATTACTGACTTAAGATTCACTTAAGCTTCAGAAAAATGTGATTTCCTGGCATTTTTTTCCTTTGAGCCAAGTGTCTGAAATCTGAATGAGAAAATGGATCCCAGCTGTGTACATTTTAAAATGCGGAAAGAACATTGCTTTTAGGACAATTTGAATTTTAAATACATAAAACTCTCAAAGATCTTCAGGACTCTTTAAAGCACATTTGAAATTATTTTAGTAAGAATGTTTGTTTTATTAATACATGTTGGATTCTGTTTTTTAGTTGAACACAAAGCTTAGGTTTCAGAGAGCAGGAGGGAGACTAGCTGGTGGCCCCAGAGAGTGCTGCTGATAATTGTTTAATTAACAAGGGGAAAATGTATATAAACAGATATAAAAGCTACCATAAATTCCATGAACTTCAATCTGTGATTCATTGCCTTAAACTTTCTCTCTTAGAATTTCCATACCGCATGCCAAACCAGTAAAACGGCTTTTAAAACATGTATAGTAGACCAATGTCAGTTTGTATAAAAGTACCAAGTGAAAATATTTATTACATGCATTGGAAAGAAATTGTTTACCTATTGAATGTTACCTGTTTATGTAGAGCTCTTTAGATGTAATAAAAGAAAAGCCTTCAGTTAATTTGTCTTCTGTAAGAGTAACACACTGGATAGATGAGGGGCCGGGCCCCTGCAAGAGAGGTGCCAGTGCCATGGAACCCACAACGCGCTCCCGGCAGGATTGCGGAGCGTGGCCGGGCTGGCTCTCGCGGCATGGGCAGGGGAGTTGTTCACGCACAGCCCTCGCCCCCTCTTCTCAGAATCGGGCCGCCTGGTGGACCACAGCATCTGGGCAGCTTTACATCTGTTCAGTGGCTGCAGTTCGAGGGCTCTTGTTGCAAATGACACCAGGTGCCCGGTGAACCCCTGGACATTGCACTGGAGAGAGCACGAGACCTGGACAACGGCAGCGGAAGGGCCCCAAATCCAAACCCTTGCGGGCTCCTACCTCCCAGGCACCGGGCGCGCAGCAGGAGGGCCGAGCGGTTGCAGCGGCGTGTTTGTGGTGTGCTGCGGTTCGGGCTCTTGTTAGGCACGTGGGGTTCGTGAAGCTTGCGTGCAAGCCTCGCTGGGACCAGTCAGTGGTAAATGTAGACAAAAAAGCTCCCAGGGAAAGGGCTGTGGTTTATTCATAGAGCCCAGAGCTTCCGTTTCCTGTCCCATCGGTGTCTGGCTCCTGTCTGCTCCCTGGTATTGCAGATGGGCTGCGCGGGATTTGCCTCCTGGTGTTGAAACAGAGGGTCTCCGACCCTTGAGCTTCATCTGAAAGCACAACCTGGAAGGCCTCGGTCTCTACCCAGCAGCAGGTGCACTGCCCGTGTAAGCACCAGGGCTCCTCAGCTTGCTCTGGCCTCCTGCAGGGTCATGGGAACAGCCGCAGACATTCTGTTTCTGTTTTTGTAATTTTTTTTTAATATTTGTTTGAAAGGCAGAGTTACCCAAAGAGGCGGAGCACATAAGCACTTCCAGCTGCTGGTTCACTCCCCAGATAGCTGCAACAGCCAGGGCCGGGCCAGGTTGAAGCCAGGAGCCTGGCACTGCGTCCTGGCCTCCCGGGTGGGTGGCAGTGCCCCAGGCACGTTCATTGGGTTGGAGATGGGACAGCCGCAGCTCAGACCACCATACAGAATAGAATGCTCATGTCCTAGGTGGCAGCCTCACCCCCCACACCACAGTGCGGGCTCCTGTGTTTGTATTTCTTAAAGAAGCCTACCAAATCACGTAGGGCTCAACGCCCCGCAAAACCTGGATCTGCCCCGGCACCGCAGGACCCAAGCTCCCAATCACTTGTCGCAACCTCACGTCACGGCATTTGCTGCCTGCCGCTCACCGCCACCCCCAGGAACCCTTCCTGCAGCTCCTGGGAGCTCTTGCGGCCATTGGCAAGCACACTGTTGGGAAAACCGCCGGCTCCTTTGTCAGGGCTGCAGGTCCCCGCAGGGCTAAGCCCTCGGTGAGGCACTTGGGGCTTGTGTACCCTCCCGCTGGACGCGACGGCCCCTCCGGGTGTTTTTCTTCTGCCACAACCCAGAGCCCAGTGTCCACGCGAGGATGAGGATCTACCTGGAGCTCTGCACCCCCCGTGTGTCCCTCCGGCAAGGCGGGGGCGCCTCAGTGTTGAGCAGCACCTCCTAAGTGACCCAAAGGCGCTTGAGCTGGAGGGCCGCCGCCCTCTGACTCCCAGTAGTGCTGGGGCAGTGGCTTAAGGCCATGGTCAGGCCCAGCGCACAGGAGAAAAGGGTCCAGGAAGGCCTTCTGTGCAGGTGCTCAGAGTGCGAGCCCCCGGCTGCTGGCTGCCGTGGGTGTGGTTAGGGTGAGGTTAGGAGGTTCTGCCCACCGCGTGCAGGTGCCACAGCCTCCACCCTGCGGCTGCCGGGATGGGAGTGGGAGTTTAAGTTGCCCTTGGTGCTAGACGTGTGGCCCTAAGCGGTGTGTGTGTCCACCCTTGGCTCGGTGCCGCTTCGCAGCCAGCACTAGCTTGGTCTTGAAAACGTGGAAGGTGATGCCAGCGCCCACACGCAGACCAGGGCTTGGGGTAGAGTGCCCGTCTCAGGAAAACGCCCTCACGCTAACCGGGGGTCCCGCTGTGCCCTGCAGCCTCATCTCAATACACCCCAGGAGCTGAGTCGGGATCCAGCTCTTGGGGGCATCCCGAGGCACAGAGGTGAAGAGCTTTGTCCCGAGTCACACAGCTGGGCCTGGGGCCCAGGCTCCTCTCCAAACCACAGGCTGTTTGCACAGCCGAGGCTGGACCTAGGGTGTTACCAAACACATTCGCAATCGGTCCTGAGGCTGAAGTCCTTTATTAGGGTCGCCGGCCGCCCCCTGGCACACTTGGGCACCGCCCTGCCCGGCTGCGCTGGCCGCCTCCGCTGGGGTCTGCGGGCCCCTGCGCTCCCCGCGGCCCCGCGCTCAGTAGTCCTGCATCGGAAGGGTGATCTTGCGGATGAACTCATCGTACTTCACCTGGCCGTTGGGTTCGATATCCGCTTCCTTGAAGAGCTCGTCCACTGCAACGAACCCCGGGGGTGGCTCAGGGGCGCTGCGGGGCACAAGGTCGTCGGCAGCTCGCGCTTGGCGGCTGCGGGCTCCCGGGGGAGGCCCGCCCCGTGGGGTGGCCGACCCCCTTCTTCCCGGGGAACAGAAAATAAACCCAGTGCCCAAGAAGGGGGCGCCCCCCCCCTCCGGGGGGTGGCGCCCTGTTTGATTTTTGACCCCAGCGGGTCTTCTCCCCCGGTGGGGAGGAGGGGTGTCAGACCCCTGAGGCCATCCTGTGCTTCCTTGTAAACATCTGACCCCTTTGCCTGTGTCTCTAAAAACTATAAAAATGTATTTCTTTGAAAGGCACACCGAGAGAGGCCAAAACAAAATCTCCCATCTGCTGGTCCCTCCCCCTCCCCAAATGCCTGAAATAGCTGGGCCAGACCCCAGCCTGGAGCCTGGAACTCAATCCAGGTCTCTCCCACGTGGATGGCCAGGACCCAAGTCCCTGGGGGAAGGGAGCCGCGAGTCAGCAGGGACCTGGAATCAGGAGCAGCGTGGGAGCTGGAACCCCGCAGGTGCCCCAGGCAGGCCTCACTGCTGTGCCAGATACACACCTGGATGTGCCCCAGCCCCTCACCTGCCCTCCTTCCTCAGCTCTTTCCTATCAGCCTTGGCTGCCTCTCCCCCGCCAAGAGAGAGCTTGGTGACACAGGGCCCCTGCTATTCACCTCTTTAAAAAAGTGTTTTGGACGTGAGAATTTTATGAGAGAAAAAAAAAAATCCAACTCTGTCTAAAGCTTTGCCTGTTTCCTCTGGTTCTGGGTTCCTGGAACAAGATGCCCGCTTGTCCCTGGCGTTGGCGACAAGAGCCGGCTCAGCTCCTCGCCCGCCTGCACAAAGCGACGCCACCACCCTGGGTCGGCCCCGGCCCCGGCCCAGGCGCCCTGCCCGCAGCCCTGAGCCCCGCGGAGCGCATCGCCTGGACAACCTGAGCGCCCCAAGCCGCCTGCCAGCTGCCTGAGCGCGCGGTGTTTTTAGAAACTGAGCCTGGACTTCTCTGCCTTCACGGGGAAGCGGCTACCCGTCCCCAGCTGGCTGCAGCCGTCCCAGGGGACAGGGCCCAGGCTCGGCCTCCGCGGAGCAGGGACAGCGCTGCGTGGCCGCGGCTGGACCTGATGGTGCCTCCTGGGTACGGTGGCCTTCCCCTTGTCCCCCCCGGGGTGCGGAAGCCTGCCTGCCCCGGCCACCTCCAGCCGCTCCAGCCACCTTCCTTCCCGGCTCCCTGCTTTCCTGGAACGCGCCCCCTGCCCCCGCCCCCTACCCCCCCACCCCCATTTCTGTGAATCTTCCTCCACTGCTTCAACAGACGGAAGGTTTGGAGAGGTTCCCACAGAGGGCATTCAGCCACCCCCCACCTGCTGCCCGAAGGGTCTGGTTCCCACCCCCACCCCCAGGGAAAGGGCTGATGGTGATGGCTGCCCGCCCCAGCAGGCCGCTGCCACTGCCCGCTCCTGCGCTGTTTGCAAACGCGGCGCCAGAGGTGAGCGCGTGCAAGGTGCTCGCTCCCAGGGAGGAAACGCGTGCCCCAGGTGCCCCGGAAAGAGGGCCAGCCAGGATTCAGCCCCGATGCAAACCACAGCCCCAAACCCTGCTTGCTGGTGACTCAGCCCAAAGCAAAAGGGCGCTTGTGACCGAAGCCGCTTTCCTGCGCCCCCTTGTGGCCACAGAGGCGAGCGCGGCAGCCCACCTAGAAACCCGGCCCCTGGGAGTTGATGGACGTCCACAGTGCCCGGCAGGCTGGTGGCCCGGCAGAGTGCACAGGCCTTTTCCGAGAGGCCCAGGGTTTGGAGACAGGAAGAGAGCTGGGCCGCTGGCGGGTGCCAGGCCCAGGTCCCTGGGGGCTCCCCCCACCCCGTTGTCCCTGCAGAGCCCCTGTGGCTCCTGGCCTGCAGGGGAGCCAAGTAGGGACGCCTCTGGGGGAGAGGCCAGCCCCTGAGCTGAGTCCCCCTCCAGCCCTGTGAGAGCCACTCCCTCCCTCTGTTTCTTCAGCACTGGAAAGGGACACTTGTGCTCCCAGGATGTCCCCTGTCCTAATTGAAGACGCATGGTGACAGCTTAGACTGAGGCAGAGGCCAAAACAATGCTGCAGCCACTCTACTGCCTGTGGGTCCCAGAGTGGCCTTCTCCGGACAGTCCCGTCACCCAGGCGACCCTGCTGGGGCTCTGTCCCTCTCCAAGGGTGCACCTGGACTGCCACCTGCCACCTACCTGCCACCTGCTGCTACCTGCACTGGGCTACGCAGGCCTCAGCCCCCCACCCCTAACACCCTGACCCTGTGCCAGGAGCCAGGCGTCCTGGGCTCTCACCTTCCCTGTGCGTGAGCTTCTCCCCCAGTGTTGTGAGCTTCGACCGCAGCTCGGACGCCATGATGTAACCTTTCTTCTCCTTGTCGGCCATCAGCAAGGCCAGGAGGATCTCCTTCTTGGGGTCCTCCTGTTTGATTTGCGTGTGCATCATGGTGAGGAAGGTGGAGAACTCCAGCTCGCCATCTCTGCCTGTGGGACCCCAGACCCAGCCGGTGGGCAGGGGGGAAAGGGGCGCCCGTTGGAGGAGCAGCTGGTCCAGGCCAGCTGTTTAAGAAGCACCAAGAGTTCCCAGGGAGGCCGCTCATAGACTGCTTTTCTGTGTTTTGCCCGCTGCTCCCCGCACCCCCCCCCCAGCAGTCCACCGTGACCCTGGTTACCGTCACCCTGTTTTCTTACTAAGGAGACAGCAGCCAGGAGCTCTAGCCCAGGACACCTCCCAGCCACGAGCTGGAGGAAGGCAGTTCCACCCCTCCTGAGCACATCTCCCAGGATGCAACAGGGGACCCCACGAGGCTAGCACCTCAGGCCCCACCTGGGCACCTGCCCTTCCCCCTCCCTACCGCCTGCATCCCAGCCTCCACCCTGGCTCCTCCTCTGGGCTCACCAGGGCCTGGCCCAGCCAGGGCCATGACAGCACGCATGGGATCTTGGCCAGCACAGCTCCCTGCTCACAGGGGCACCTGCCAGGAAGCCACCGCTGCCCCCCCCACCAGAGTTGCCAGTGGGCGCCATCAGGAATCAGCCCACCGAGCGCCCCCTCGTGGGGCTCCCAGCACTGTGGCAGGTGGCGGGAACCCACGATGAGAGACCCGGCTTCTGCACCCTGGGCCACTCCTCCTGCCTGAGGGTCCCTCGGCCAGCACCGCTCCACTTTTCTTGGAAAAGAAAAAAGGACCCAACGTGTTTGTTTCTGATCATAGAAGTCTTACAGGGCGGCTTTTCAAAATGTTCATGGAAAATGCAGGTGATGCATGGATTTCAACCTCGTTGGCACCAGAATAAGCCTCCTTGAATCCCATTTCCATGAACTTTCTGAAGTCTCCCCCCCGCCGCTGCCCCATGGTTGAAAACACAGGAAACAACAATAAAAAGGAGGACCCGCGCCGCCCTCCCCCATCCCGAGAGCCCCGCGGGGCCCTGTTCCAGGTGGCTTTGCTCCCGGCCTGTTTTCTGGCTGTTTTACAGCGTTTTTAGGTCAGTCTTTGAAATCAGAAGAACTGCGTTCCAATCCTGATCCCACTATTGGCCCAAGAACACGGGCAGGCTCCTCCCTGGCTCGGAACCGTTGACGCTTGCCAGGGACAAGGCTCAGCCTTGTGTGGACTGCGGGGCTGTTCCGGCTCAGCCCACGGCAGTGGTCCTCGCCGAGGGACTTTGTCCCACACCAGCAGCGTAGGGACCCTGCCCAGTGCCCCCTCCCCGCCCGCCTCGCCACTGTCTGCACCCACCTGCCGGCCCGGGCCGCTCGCTCACTCACCTATCCCGTGCGTCTGCAGGTGCCGCTGCGCCTCCCCGGGCGTCGGGCTGGCCCCCAGGCACCTCATGGCCACCAGCAGGTCAGCGGCTTTCATCTTGCCCCGCTGCTGCTTGTCATACAGCGAGAAGCACTCCTTGTACTCTGCACACAGCCGGGGGGAGAGTCGGTTGCAGCCGCTCCGCGCCCACCCTGCTGCCCCCTCCATCTTGCACCCCGACAGCCCCCTGCCCAGCCCTTGTCTGTCTCTTTCTCTCCTCTTTTTCCCCTTCCTTCTGCCCATTCCCCAGATGCAGCAAATGAAAACACAGAACGGCCAAGTCAAATTGAATTCTGAGAAGCAATGACTACGTCGTTAGTGTGCGTATGTGCCACGCTTGGGATGTGCTGATCCTAAAATAGCAAGTGTGTTGGGGTGGACATTTAGCCTACTAGTCAAGACACCTGCGTGCCCTAGCAGAGGGCCTGGGCTCAATGCCCAGCTCCATCCCGACCCCAGCTTCCTGCTGACGCAGACCCGGGGAGGCAGCGGGCGATGGCTCAAGTAGTCGGGCTCCTGCCACCATCCATGTGGGAGATCCAGACTGAGTTAGGGGCCATTGCGAGCATTTAGGGGGTGAACCAGAGGATGGGAGAGCTCGCCCTTTCTCTCTCTCTCAAATACACACATACATAAAAAGCTTTGCGAGTGTTTTTTGTCTGACGTTGAAATGCAACTGGGTGTCTGTTTTATCCCCGCCACTCCTTCTTCTTTGCCCCTCACACCCACAAAGGAAATAAAACGCCAGCCTTGGGAGGCCAGGAGCCAGCTCCGTTCCCAGGAGGGCTCTGGATGACTGTGAGGGCCAGAAGTTCCCCCCCCACAGGGCCGGGCAGAGCGAGGCTCCCATAGGTGGTGACGGCTGCCACCGCCACCGCCATCATCACCATCATCACAACTAGGGGCTCTTCTGAGTGCCCGGCCCTGCCCAGGCCCCCAGGCTGCTGACCTCCAGTGGTCCCCTGGTACAGGGCCTGGGCCTGGTCTCTGACTCCCGGACCTGCTGCTGTCCCCAGAGCCCTAGCTGCCCGGTCCTCCGTGTGGAAGAAGCGGCTGCCGGAGGAGGGAAGGCTCCTCTGCACCTGCCGTCCCCAGCCCGGCAGCGCTGCCTGGCACAGAACAGCCCGCTGAGAACCGGGAGCATCCCTGGAGCACCCCAACGCAGGTGCTGATCCGGGGGCTGACAGCAGGAGCAAACGAGTCAGCTCCAATCCCTTGTGGCTCCCCAAGGACGCAGCTGGGCCTGCGGGTGGAACCCCTGGCTTGAGCCCCACAGCAGTGAACCAGCCCCAGCCCAGAGCCGGCTCTGCCCTCTGCCCTCTCTTGCTCCCATGCCAGCCAGGGGCATCCTCAGAGGCCCGAGTGCCTCACCCCCAGGCCGTCCCTCGCGTGATCTTCATAACCCTGAGGGCCGACATCACCATGGCCAGGGGTCAAGTGGAGGCCCGGCCCACCTCCCAACAGACCGGCCCTTCAGATACCTTCTGTCTTCCTACCCTGACAGCTGGGCCTTTTATTGTTTAATGGAGTTATTTATTTATTTGAAGGAGAGAGTGAGCTTCCATCTGCTAGTTTACTCCCCAAATACTGGGGCTGGGCCAGACCCAAGCCGGGAGGCCAGAACTCAACCCAGGTCACGAGTGTGGTTGACAGGGACCCAAATACTTGAACCATCACCTGCTGCCTCCCAGGCGCATTAGAAGGGCTCTAGATCGAAAGCGGAGCCAAAACTGAACCCCAAACACTCTGATATGGGATGTGGGCATCCTAAGGAGTATTTTTTTTTTGACAGGCAGAGTGGACAGTGAGAGAGAGAGACAGAGAGAAAGGTCTTCCTTTGCCGTTGGTTCACCCTCCAATGGCCGCCACGGCCGGCACGCTGCGGCCGGCGCACTGCGCTGATCCAATGGCAGGAGCCAGGTACTTCTCCTGGTCTCCCATGGGGTGCAGGGCCCAAGCACTTGGGCCATCCTCCACTGCATTCCCTGGCCACAGCAGAGAGCTGGCCTGGAAGAGGGGCACCGGGACAGAATCCAGCGCCCCGACCGGGACTAGAACCCGGTGTGCCGGCGCCACAAGGCGGAGGATTAGCCTAGTGAGCCACGGCGCCTGCCTATTTTTTTTTTTTTTTTTTAAGATTTATTTATTTGAAAGAGTTACAGAGAGAGAGGGAGAGACACAGAGATTTTCTGCTGGTTCACTCCCAGGATGGCCCACAGCTGCGAGGGCCCAAGCAGAAAGCCAGGAGCCAGGAGCTTCTTCCGGGTCTCCCACGTGGGTGCAGGGGCCCAAGCACTTGGGCCATCTTCTGCTGCTTTCCCAGGCGCATTGGCAGGGAAGCTTAGGGCCATGCTGTGGCATAGTAGGTGAAGCCTCTGCCTGCGGCGCCAGCATCCCATTTGAGTGCAGGTTCGAGTCCCGGCTGCTCTTCTTCCCATCCAGCTCTCTGCTGTGACCTGGGAAAACAGTGGAAGATGGCCCAGTCCTTGGGCCCCTGCACCCACGTGGGAGACCCGGAAGAAGCTCCTGGCTCCTGATTGGTCCAGCTCCGACCATTGGAGCTATTTGGGGAATGAACCAGCAGATGGAAGACCTCTCTCTCTCTCTCTCTGTCTCTCTCTCTCTCTCTCTAACTCTGCCTTCCAAATAAACAAGTAAATCTTTGTTTAAAAAAAAAAAAAACGCTCGGCTTTAACAACCATCTTGCAAAATATCCTCAAAATGTGGCTCTCCCCAGCTGGTGCCTCCCACTGCCCGGCTGTGCCTGGCCCAGTGTCAGGCGCGAAGCTGGCATCATCTCCAGCTGGCAGCAGCCTGATGAGGCGGCGATGCCAGCCTTGCGCCACAGATGAAGAACCGGAGGCGATTGCCCCCCCCCCCGGTGTGATGTCTCCAGGGCTCCTGTGGGGCCCACCCCAGCAAGCTAGCCCTGTGTAGTGCTTCGTGCATGTGTCACACACTGGGGTACAAAGAGAAATTACCGCTTCCCTTTGGGGAGGTCCCGATGCGCGCGAGCCTCAGACCCAGCGTGGGTGGGGGACGCTGAGGCTGAGAGCTGACCCCGGCCCCCAGTCTACCAGCAGGTGTCACCTTCAGTGTTGGGCCAGAGGGGGCCTCTGCTCTGGGTCCTGGGCTTTCACAGGCCCGGCTCTTGGGGAACAGAGTCCAGGCCTCCATGGGAGGTACCCCCCTCTCCTTCTCCCTTCTAGACCAAGGTCTAGGTAGGTACCCAGAATTCTGGAACCCCAGCCTATGTAACCGGAAGCCACTTCCAGGGCCTGCAGCACCCCACCCTGGCTCCGGGGAGGCAGCATCTTAGCAGAGATGCAGTGAGAGTGGGGGGTGCCCGGGGCGCACTCACGGGCCCACCGCTGGCCACTGTGCAGGAGGAGCAGAGGTGTGCAGCTCCCCTGTGTGACTCTGGCCTCCCTGCCAGGTGCTCAGAGACCTGGCCTGGGCCCCCTAGTTCTTTGTAACCCGACTCTGCTCTCAGCCTTGCGGAAACAGAGCTGTGCCCTCCTGCAGGGAACGGAAGCCCAGAGGGAGACAGGGACAAGGGGGCTCAGACCCCAGCTGGGCTTGGTTACGGGGCACAGACTGGGAGATCCAGGCCCAGAGCGGAGGTAGGCCGGGCGCTTTCCCCATCTCAGCCAGTTTCAAAGCCCGTCCTCCCTTTTCCTCTGTGATCAGCCGCAAGGTGAAGGGTCTCCCCTCCACCGCAACCCCTTCCTCCCCCAAATCCACCCACCAGCTTCCGGGTTGGGGAACCCAGCCAGCTCTGCCCTCTGACCTGGGCTTGTATTGCATTCCCGGCTGTGAAGCTGCCCCCACCCCCTCCTCAGCACGGCTGTGCCCCCTATCCATGGGTGGGCCCAGACCCCCACAGACACATGCTTGCCTTCCCACCACCAAAAGGGAGCGGAGCAAACCGCCTAGGGAGACCCATATTCTGCTAATTAAAGAACAAACCCGCATACCATTAATTTGGTCCTGGGAAAGAAACTTGGCCTGTAGCGGAGAGAAGACAGCGGTCAGGGCCGACTCCGCTCGCCCCCGCCCCGCCCCCCCCCCCCAGCCCTGGCCCTCCCCTCCACCCCGCTGCCCCCCATTTACCATCGCGGGGCCCCGGCTGCTTCCTGCCTATGATCTCGGTTCCCTTTCTTCCGGCTTCAGGTCTAAAGTCCCAGCCGCCAGCCGGGTGGAGGCCTCCGTAATAAATTCCCGGCTGCCATGGAGACCGGGACCCACGCCACTGGGCTCAGATTCCAGTTCCTGTGCTTGGCGGCGGCAGTGGCGAAGGCTCTGCGGGGCGGGCCCCAGGTGACTCTTGAGGAATTGGGCCTTGGGGTCCTTGCCTCTGAGGCAAGCCCAGGGACAGAGGCGGGTGCTCGCCTGGGATGGAGCTGACCTGGGCTGTGGGGTCTCCCCACTGCCCGCGCGGGTTTTTTTACAGCCCTGTGTTACTGACGGTGCTGGCAGAAGGAATGGGGCTTGGCTCAGAAGCTCCGGCCTCCCCAGCCCGGGGACACCTCTGCAGAAGGAAGCCAGGCTCACTGTGTCAGGCTGGGGTGCTAGGCCTGCTGATTTGCCCGGTGCCCTGGGAGTCAGTCACAACTCCATGCCTCGGTTTCCCCACCAGGCCCCCTTACAGGGCTGCTGGGAGAATCAATTGGCCAGTGCACAGGCGGCTCCCAGCCGGTGCTGTGGTCTCGCGGGTTGGGGTGGGTGCCTGGACTGGGTCTGCAGCCCTACTACGGGCTACCTGGCGGAGTGAGGCCCCTTGGGAGACCTCCCTGGTCAGGAAGGCTCATCCAAGATTTCCTTCTCCTCCCTGCCCCGCGCCTTCCGGCAGAAGCTGCTGACTCCGGATTCTCCAGCAGTTTGGGCTGTGCCCCTCCCCCCCAACAGGGGAAACCGGCAGGGTGGGGCAGCGCCCTTGAGTTTCTGTTCTCGGCTGTGGAGCAGGCACGCCCCTGCACTGCCAGCAACTACATTGCCAGGGTCACGTGTGGCCACACAGCGGAGTGCCCTGCACAGGGGCACCCCCACCTAGGGGCCAAAGGCGGGCTGGCGGGGGGCTGCCTGTGCCGGAAGGAAGAGGGCGCTCTGGCCCATGTGTACAAAGGCATGGGCCCGGGGGCCCGGGTGCATCCTCTCCTTCCCTCCTGTCCTGCCCACCTCCATAGGAACAGTTTTCATGCCCTAGATCCTGTCTCCTCTCTCGTCTTCACAGCTGCTTCCGAGAGAGAGAGAGAGAGAGAGAGAGAGAGAGAGAAAGGGAGAAACTCCCGTGGAAGGGTCACAGTGCTGGCTCCGAAGACCCCCGTCTTGGGGAAGCGGCTCGCGGGGGAAGAAGCATGTGCTTGGGTCAGGTCAGAGTGCGTGCGGTTTGACCTGTGCACCTCAAAGGCAGCCTGACACCCGCGCGCCTCCTTCCTCCTCTCTGCAGATGTCTCCAAGGAGGGCCTCACAGATGGCCGAGGCCACATGAGGTTCACCGGCGAGCTGGGCCAGGCAGCGCATGTGGCTTCATCTCGGCGAAAAACCCGCGAGTTTTCATTCATTGACCTTATTCCTGAACCCTGGCCACTCCGCTGCGGGAGCTGGCACACCTGGTACCTCTGCGACATTCTCTGGGTCCAGGCCCTCCTGCCCCAACTCCCTGGACTCCTCCAGGGAGGGGTTCCAAGCAGGGGAAGCTCCTCTATCCTCCAACCCCACTGGCCAAGTCTCAACAGAGCCCCAGAAAGGTTTCGGTGGCCACAGCGCCGCCTCCTGCCCCAGCCTTGTTGCGCCCCACCTGGGCACCTGTCTCCACCTTGGACCTGAGCCGGCCTGGCCCTCAGGGCGAGCTCTGTTCTGTGCACAATCAGGGGCTGGTGGGGTGCCCTGGGCAGCACCAGAGGAGTCCAAGTCCATGGCAGGTTAGGGGTGTGCTCCTGGGTGAGGGGCGGGAGTGGCCCCCAGAGGCCATGTGGGCTTTGCTCCCCCTGGTCCTGTGTGCCCCGGAACAGGGGACGCACGGCCACCTGGCACCTGTGGGGATGACCTCACCTGGAAACAGGCCCCTTCCAGGTACAACTGAGATAAGCAGAGGCCATGGGGGGTAGGAGACACACAGAGATGCACCTGTCAGGGGGTCCCATGGGGCAGGGACTGCAGTGCCACCTCCAGGAGCCAGGAGCCACCAGGCACGGCCTTCGGACCACGTGGAGGTGGCGAAGGGTCGGCCCTAGAACCTGTGGAAGGAGCACGGCCCTGCTGCCCCTCGCAGACCCGAGAGGCCACACTGCTGCCGGTTTAAGCCACCATGTGTGGTCCCCTGTCCCAGCCATCTGGCACACAGACACAGGCCTGCACTGGCTGGTGTGGCGAGGTGGGCACGGGGTCACTCACAGACCCCGCCACCTGCAGCCAGGGAGATGTCTGGGTGGAGCCAAGACGCCATGCTCCTCACTGGTTCCCCGGTGGGGCCGGGCAGATGCGGGGCTGCGGGGAGCTTGGCGGCTCCCAGACGTGAGTGCATCAGAGTCCCCTGCAGACCCAGAGCCCGAAGCTCTGCCCGGGGCTGTGGCGTCCCCAAGGCTCTGGCTGCCCGCCGGCCAGGGGGAAGTACTTCCAGGGCAACACTTCCCAAAGTGCCCAGAGACCCCAAGGATGAGCCACGTTCTCCAGGCTCCAGCGATTGGCAGGGGCCTCTTCTTCTTTCTAGGCATGCATGGTCATCCAAGTTTTCACTGCACTTTTGTTCTTTACTGCCTTTTTTTTTTTTTTTTAAAGATAGAGTTAGTGAAAGAGAGAGAGACAGAGAGAAAGGTCTTCCTTCCTTTGGTTCACCCCCCAAATGGCTGCTACGGCCGACGCGCTGCACCGATCCGAAGCCAGGAGCCAGGTGCTTCCTCCTGGTCTCCCACGCGGGTGCAGGGCCCAAGGACCTGGGCCATCCTCCACTGCACTCCCGGGCCACAGCAGAAAGCTGGCCTGGAAGAGGGGCAACCAGGACAGAATCCAGCACCCCAACCGGGACTAGAACCCATGGTGCCGGCGCCACAGGCAGAGGATTAGCCTAGTGAGCCATGGCGCCGGCTTTACTGCTTTTTAAATAAACTTATTTATTTATTTATGTGAGAGGTAGAGTTACAGAGAGAGGGAGAGACAGAGAGAAAGAGAGAGAGGATTCTTCCACCCGTGGGTCCACTCCCCAGTTGGTCGCAGCAACTGGAGCTGTGTCTGTTAGGAAACTGGTGCAGTTGTAGCCAGGTGGCCACATGGCCCAGCTACAGGAGCCAGGCTCCACCCCCATCCTAATGGGATTCGCTGCTCCGGTTTCCCTGCCCGCCGTCAGCGAAGTTTTAAGGGCTTGTTCCTGCACACGTGCTCTCTCGGCTCTCAGTTCTTCTCTCTTAGCTCCCCTTTCCTGCTCTCTGCTCTCTTCTCTTCTTGCTAGCGCCTCTCCTCTCTGTTTCTCTTGTACATTCTCTTTCTCTTTTTCCTTCACTGCCCCTTCACTCCGGTCTGTAGGGTGTTCCCCAATAAACCCTTTCCCTTACTCCGGTGTCCGGTGTGCTTTGCGACGGCTAACATTAATATATAACAGTGTCGATCCGAAGCCAGGAGCCAGGAGCTTGCTCCTGGTCTCCCATAGGGGTGCAGGGGCCCAAGGACCTGGGCCATCTTCTACTGCTTTCCCAGGACACAACAGAGAGCTAGATCAGAAGTGGAGGAGCCAGGACTCCAATCAGCGTCCACATCGGATGCCGGCGCCGCAGGTGGGGGTTTAGCCCACTGTGCCACCGCGCCGGCCCCTTTCACTGCTTCCTAACCCAGGGCGCCCCGGCTGCACAAGCTTCAGGGCCACACAGCCAGGCCACGCGGCTTCCACTGTGTCCTGAAGGCTTCTGTGCAGAACAGGCCAGACCGGGGCTGGGGGGCTGTGTCCTGGGGGCCGGGAAGGAAGCAGAGGCAGAGGCTAGTAGGGGTGGGGGCGTGGATGCACGGTGGGAGGCGGCCCGGCTAACCTCAGCCCGCCCACGTCGCTGCTGCGTTAGTGAGGATGCCTAGACCCTTGAAGGTGAAGAGCTGAGGTCGCGCCCAAGGTGGTACAACCTTCGAGAAAGCAGCCTCCGGCCTTCCCCCAGAGGGCAGCACAGGCCACGCCCACAGCCCTCTCTGAAAGGGGCTGGGATGGGGCTTCTTGTGCCCCACTCCCCAAAGGCCACTAAGGGGCACCCAGGCAGTGGCACTGGCCACCAGCCCTGGGAAGCTCCTAGGGGGACCCTTGGGCTCCGGCCTGAGCTCCGGAACAGCTAGGTTCTCCCCTACTCCGGGGACCCCACCCCTCCCTGTGCCTCCCCAGCTCATACCCAAAGCCACGAACAGCAACCAGCCAGGCCTTATTCCTGTGTGCCAACACCCACCCAACGAGGGCCACCAGCACGCAGGGCCTGCCCCAGCAGCCGGGGGCTCCTAAGGGGGCTGTGGAGGGCCGACACGGAAGGAGAATGAGGCTGAGGGCTCCCTGGGGACACAGGAGAGGGGGGAGCCCCCCACCCCACCCAGAGAGCGTGGGCACCCTTGAGCCAGCCAGCTTTGGCTGGAGAATGACCCGGCCCCACCGGCTCCCAGGGGGCTCCTAACTCCTGGGAGCAGGGCCAGGTGGAAGGGGGAGACTGGGTGCCCTGGACCCCCGCAGGGCGAGGGTCTGGTGCCCAAGGGTTTGGCTGGGGTGGGGGGTGCTGGCCACACACAAGTTCAGGCCGGGCAGGTGGTGGAGAAAGCAGGCTCCGGCTTCCTGGAGTCCGGCTGGGGAGGGGGGGGCTCATGCCACATGGGAGCTGGAGGAGCACCCGCCCCTGCCAGGCTGGGGCACCTTAGGGACGGGAGAGAAGCACGAGGTCGTCCCATGGCTTCCCTAGGGGCGTCAGTGCCCCCAGCCCCCCAGGACCCGGGGCCCATCTGGGACACGAGGTCCAGGGAGGGAAGTGCTTTGCTCACCACACATACACACACACACACAGCTGCCCATGTCCTGTGTAACCGGAGTACAGGGCCAGCGAGGGCCCTAGGGGAGCCAGGTGGCGGCCGGGTGACCCCCAAGTCCCCTCCTGTCATCTGCCCCAGCCAGGCCGTCCCTGCAGGTGGAGGAGCCCAGCTCTGAGAAGCGGCAGCGTGACCAGGGGCCTGGAGCTTGGCCTGGACACGCTTCCCCACACTGGATTCCATCTGGAAAGATCCAAACCCAGGAGAGCACCTGACACACTCTTGCACACACGT